TAGACTACAAAGAAAGCGAAAAATTTCAGAGCATTGCAGCTGGAGAGGGGCGATGAGGCGACCGAATGTTGGGTGCATGCAAGTGGAAGGCGGAGCGCTAGAGAGGGATTTTATTACGTTGGAGCGAAGTTCGCAGGCTTGCTCGGAATAATTGTAGTGCACTAATGTTATATGCACCAGGCCATACAGAACTGCCCCAAAGTAGTTGATTGGTAGTAAGTTTCACTATTTAGCAGTTGGGCCTTATTCGTGCCACTTGACTTATAATGCAGGTTTCCTCTTCCATCACACCATGCTATTGATGCGACAGAGTTAACATGAGCTGGTAACATTATGCAAAAAGCACGACTAAATAGCCGGTGCCACAAAATTAGAAAATAAATTAATATTCACGTACGCTTTCTACTTATGTACACACAAACGCATACGCACCATGCAGTGACGCTTCCCATGCCACCATTGAAGCTCCTCCAGTTGTCAGACGGCAATGATAGGGCCATGCTATCATCACGGGCCTCTCATAATGCATCGAAGCATTGCCCGAGAACCTCATGGTTACTGACCATCGGTTTGAAGTGCTTCGTCAATGCACCTGTCCAAAGTATGCTTTACTCCTGCCAACTGATCGGCCACGCTCATACGAGAGACGGTGCTAATTGGAGGATGTACCTCAAGTCCCACGATATCACCCACCAAAGGAGTGCTGTCCAGGCGACTGTCACTTGCAACCTTGAGGGCTCCTTTGCATGGATGGCCGTCAGATGCAAGTGTTGCTAGTGGAGCTTGATTGTAGCGGACACCGCTCTAGCGAAAACGAAGTTTGACTGGTGACACATTCAGCCGCTTTGACAAGTGAGTCGAAACAATTCTGAAGTCTTTGCAACTGTTTGTTTGTGTTCACTAACATCAACTCTGGTTCATTGGATCTCTTCCTCAATGGGATTGGGCCAACTTCCCGCAAACGGGGTAAGGAAGCAAGAGTAATGAAACACACCGCGATGGTAAAAGCACTTGTGCGGGTTGCACGCACACACGGTCAACTCATCGAGTCCCATGAATAACTTACAACAGCAGGACCATCGCAGTAGTCGGTTGCCTTCACATTTGTGGCAATTGTCATCCGGCTTTGGAAAGAA